CCCGACGGCGTGCCGAGGGGAGTGCGCGAGAGGAGGCCTTGTCAGAAGGCGGCGGGCTTACTAAGCTGCTTTGTGGCATTATGACACATGATAAGCCCGCTGTGGTTCCGTAGAAGGCCCGCTGAGCCTTTTGAGAAGGCCCACCCCCTATGCCGCCCCCCTTGGCGCGCCGTCGAGGCACGCGATTGGCAGCGCTTTCGGCATAGCGCGGAGCTGATCAAAAGCGCAAGTCTGGAGTGACTCCCATGCCCGCACCCTATGCCGCCCCCATTGGCACGTCATCGAAGGGCCCGAACTACTTTCGGCATGACGCAGAGCTGATCAAAAGCGCACGCGTGACTGAGCCCCACGAGCTGGAGCCAAGGCGCGAACATACACGGAGAAGGCACGAGGGAGGAGGAGCAGCGGGGAGGAAGCGGAGAGGGGGGGACTGGGAGGAGGCGAAAGAGGCGAAGGGAAAGGCGGACGAGGACGGGGAGGAAAAGGCGCGGGGGGGGAAGAGGAGGATGGGGAGAAGGGGGAGGGGGGGAGGAAAAAGAGGGATACGAGGGAGAGGAGGGGCGGGAAGGACGAGGCGGACCCGAAGGACAAGGAGGAGGAGGAGGAAGTGGACAAGGAGGAGCAGCAGGAGCGCAACCCCTCCCGCCCCACTCCAGCCCGGGGCCTTTGCCGCCGCCACGGTCGCCCCAGGAGGAGCCTTTGCCAGTGCCGCCCCAGGAGCCCTTGCCGTCGCCGCGGCCTCGGCATGGGTTGCGCTCTCGGGGGGGGGCCTTTCAATTTCACTTTCCCGCTCCCCCTTCAATCCACCGCAGGCGCAGTCCCACAAGTGGGCACCGACGCGAGTGCAGCGGGTGGTCGCCAGGGCGCAGGCACGAGATGGAAACATCTGCGGAGAGGGCTGGCCGCTCAATATCGGGAGCGGCCAAGAGGGGGGTGTCCAAGAGGGGGGGGTGCAAGTCATGACCGGCGGCATGTGCGCGGCCCAGCGGGGGGGCCAGGGACGTAATGAAACAAGAGGCGCCATGAAATCTGGGGAAATATCATGACCCCCGCCATGATATCCAACCCCCCCCTAGTCATCACCCCACTCTTTTCCGCCCCCGACAATAAGTGGAGCTGGTTCTGGGGAGGCCGCAGCAGAGAAAGTAGGCGCATGGCCGGGAGTGGCCGAGGGCAATGGCTGGAGTCGGGCAGTGAAGGGTCGGTATCGAAGAGGAAGGCGGAGTCGGATTGGAGCCAAAATCGGAAAAATACGAGCGGGAATCGGAGAGGAGGAGGAGGAGGAGGTGGAGGAGGAGGGGAGGAGGAGGGGGGGGAGGGGGAGGAGGAGGAGGAGGAGCAGGAGGAGGAGGAGGAGGAGGAGGAGGAGGAGGAGGAGGAGAAAGAGAAGGAGGCGGAGGAGGAGGAGGAGGAGGAGGAGGATCGTAGACATGGGGCCAGAGTCAGACCCCAGCCACTTCTACCCCTCCCCCTCCTCTCCCTCCTTCCCCTGCCCCTCCCCCATGCGACAACAGGAAGAAGTGCGAGCTGATTGTGTGCTGCAAGGCGGAGAGTGTCTCCCTGACAGGCATGGCGAAGACAATCTTCGCGTTCAGGGACAGCGCCTTGCGCCACATCAAGATCGAGGGTTTCAAGGTAGCGGATCGCATGGTGATGAAGCAGGGGCGTGCTACACCGACGTTCCTCGAGCGCGGTATCCTAGAACCACGCGCGCTTCGCGCGCGCTTAGGTTCTGTCGAGTCACAGACCCAGGAATCGTTGTGAGAAGAAATTGGTGACGCGAAGCGTCGTGGGGGCGTCCTTGGACGTCTGGGGTCTCCTGGGGCCTCTTGAGGGGCCTCCTGGGGGCCTCCTGGGCCTCTTGGGGCGGAAGGCTCGAGCTTGCGGTTCGTGGTCCCCCTCTGGGCCCCCTCTTGGGCCAGGGGCTTGGGCCATCTTGGGCGCCTCTTGGGCCGTCTTGGGGCCCTCTTGGGCGCCTGGGGCCCTCGGGAGCTTCTTGGCCGGCCTTGGAGCGGTTTTTGGCGCCTCTTGGGCCCCTCTGCCTGAAAGTCGGAAAGCCCAAAGACAAATTTGTTGAAAATGTACGTTTTACAAGGGAATGGGCCAATTTTGCGTCTAGGGGCCTCTTGGGACGCATGTTGGAGGCTTCTTGGGGCCTCTTGGGGGCGTCCTTGGACGTCTGGGGTCTCCTGGGGCCTCTTGAGGCCCTCCTGGGGGCCTCCTGGCGGCCTCTTGGGGCGGAAGGCTCGAGCTTGCGGTTCGTGGTCCCCCTCTGGGCCCCCTCTTGGGCCCGTCTTGGGGCCCTCTTGGGCCATGGGCGCCTCTTGGGCCGTCTTGGGGCCCTCTTGGGCTGTCCTGGGGCCCTCTGGAAGCTTCTTGGGCCGTTTGGGGCGGTCTTGGGCGCCTCTTGGGCCGTCCTGTAACGTCGGAAAGCCCAAAAGGCAACTTTGTTGAAAATGCACGTTTTACGAAGGGAATGGGCAATTTTTTGCGTCTAGGGGCCCTCTTGGGACGCATGTTGGAGGCTTCTTGGGGCCTCTTGGGGGCGTCCTTGGACGTCTGGGGTCTCCTGGGGCCTCTTGAGGGGCCTCCTGGGGGCCTCCTGGCGGCCTCTTGGGGCGGAAGGCTCGAGCTTGCGGTTCGTGGTCCCCCTCTGGGCCCCCTCTTGGGCCCGTCTTGGGGCCCTCTTGGGCCATCTTGGGCGCCTCTTGGGCCGTCTTGGGGCCCTCTTGGGCTGTCCTGGGGCCCTCTTGGAAGCTTCTTGGGCCGTCTTGGGGCGGTCTTGGGCGCCTCTTGGGACGTCCTGTAACGTCGGAAAGCCCAAAAGACAACTTTGTTGAAAATGTACGTTTTACCCAGGGAATGGGCCAATTTTTGCGTCTAGGGGCCCTCTTGGGACGCATGTTGGAGGCTTCTTGGGGCCTCTTGGGGGCGTCCTTGGACGTCTGGAGGCCATCTTCAGCATCTCGGAGCCCTCTTGGAGGCCTCTTGGAAGTTTCTTGGGCCGTCTTGGGCGCTCCTGGGGCCGTCTTGTCTGACCGGGGAGGCCTCCGGCAAGCCCCGACGAGCCTCCGGGCCCCCCGGAGCCCACATTTGTGGTCGAGGTCCCGGCCCCGGGCCCCCGGACCCGGTGCGCCGTTATATGTATATATGTGGGCGATGGCCCAGTAAGCAAACAAGGTGGTATGGGATTGCAATCGGCCCTTCGCTTGATTTTGCTCGCGAGACTGGCAATGCTTTTTGGAAGTCGGCACATACTGCTGTTACTGACCAAGCTGTGTTCAGAATTAACCTACCGATGACAATGCTGGAAGCGTTCGGCCAGGCAGTTGCGCCCCTCCTTCCCAAATCCGCATTCTCAAATCTTCTGGGATCACGTCGCGAAATGCCCGGCACGCCACATGTTCCGTAAATGGTGAGCACGTGATAGAATGCATGAAATGGCGCACCAATGATATGATCAGCAGCAGGAGCCAACGAGTGAACAGCATGCTTCTGACAAGGCGGTGTGCCCCGACTTGCTATCGCCGTGCGCCCTGCCCCAGTCTTCCCTGGACAGTGACGCCGTCTTCTCCCGCTGCCCCCTCCCCCATTCGCCCCCTCGCCATTCCCCCCCCCCCCGCGCCCACACAAATTCTTCGCTGGGCCCGCAGCGCCATTGTCTGCGCGACTTGCGGGGCGGAACTTGCCCCGCAGAGTAAGCCACAATCCGACCGCGCCCTGTCATCGCGTCGGGGGCGCCCGTCGCGGCCCCCCACCCCACGTCGGAGATCGTTGGAAGGCCGCGCCCTGGCATCGGAATGACCCTGCGGGATGCCACCCTGTCGCCTCGAGGCCCCGCCGTAGACACGTTCCTGGCGAGATCAGGCTCGCCGCTCGGGCGTCCAGGGGCGGAAGCCAGGGAGCGCCGGCCCGAGGTAGGCCCTGGCTCCGAGAGCGGCGGGGGCCGCGGAGGCCTGGGCGAGGCTCCATGCCAGCAGGGTAATCATGATGGGTTCCGGGGGGACCCCACCTGCGTAAGAGGAAGGCAGCATGCCCGAGCCAGAAAGCTGTGGAGAGGAGGGGCGAGAGGAGAAAGAGAGAGAGAGAGAGAAAGAAAGAGAGAATACAAAAAGAGAGAGAGAGAGAGAGAAAGAGAGAATACAAAAAACACACACACACACACACAAAAACAGAGAAACAACCAAAAAAAAAAAAAAAAAAAAAAACTGGCGAAAGACCCAAAACACACACAAGTGTGAGAACCGCAGGGCAGGTGGGACGAAGCAAGGGGAATTCCCAATGGGGCCCCGAACCGTGTGAGGGGTGCGCCAAAATGGGGCGGGGCCGCCATGCGAACCGTGCCACTGGGGCCTTCGGTGGAGCCCCCTATGGGGCCACGAACCGTGTGAGGGGTGCGACAAAATGGGGAGGGGCCGCCATGCGAACCATGCCACTAGGGCTTTCGGTGGAGCTCCATGTGGGGCCACGAACCGTGTGAGGGGTGCGCCAAAATGGGGCGGGGCCGCCATGCGAACCCTGCCACTGGGGCCTTCGGTGGAGCTCCTATGGGGCCACGAACCGTGTGAGGGGTGCGCCAAAATGGGGCGGGGCCGCCATGCGGACCCTGCCACTGGGGCCTTCGGTGGAGCTCCCTATGGGGCCACGAACCGTGTGAAGGGTGCGCCGAAATGGGGCGGGGCCGCCATGCGAACCCTGCCACTGGAGCCTTCGGTGGAGCTCCCTGTGGGGCCACGAACCGTGTGAGGGGTGCGCCAGAATGGGGCGGGGCCGTCATGCGAACCCTGCCACTGGGGCCTTCGGTGGAGCTCCCTGTGGGGCCACGAGCCGTGTGAGGGGTGCGCCAAAATGGGGCTGGGCCACCATGCGAACGCAGCCACTGGAGCCTTCGGTGGAGCTCCCTATGGGGCCACGAAACGCTGTACTGGGTGGGTGAAACGCAGGGAGGAGGGGGAGGAGGGGCAGGAGAGGAGGGGAGGAGAAGGAACGCGGGGCGACGTCTCTTCAAAACGAGGACCCAACACCACAGGATGGTTGGGCGAAAAAAAAGCAAGCGGCGGGCATGGAATCCTAAAGATGCAGCGCGAGCCCAAGCCAGAACATGCACGTGGTACATGGAGCAGGGAGGGGCAGGAGGAGGAGGCTAGTGCCCTCGTGCGCGGGTGGTGCCGGAGAGAGGCGGAAGCGGAAGCGCACTCGGGGGGCGGCCCTGGCCGTCGGCGCGCGTCCGAGGCCGCGGCCCATCGGCGAGGCCGCCGGGGGGTGCGCCCGCCCCCGGCCGCGCTGACACCTCCGAGCGGCGCCGCGTCGTTGCATCCTCGCCGACCTGCCCCAGCCAGCAGTCGACGGCGAGCGAGACGGGCAAATGAGAAGGAGATGGCCTTCTCCGAAGGCGGCGGAGATTGTCTGAGGCTCCCGCGCCTTCTGAGAAGTTTTGTTGTCTTCGGGGAATGATTAGAAGACTTCTCAGAAGGCTGGGGGACTTCCGAGCCTTCTGAGAAGGCCCGCCCCTTCTCAATTCCCCCCCTCGCTCGCCGCCGAACTAACCTCAGGAGCGGCGAACGTATCCACATCCACGCCCTGGGGCGACGAAATGTACACATGGCTTGGACAGGAGGGCGTATGCACAGCTCCTGGGCTCAGGGAGGACCTGGCCAGGGGGCAGTGGATATGTATAGATTTCGTCGCCCGACGCCCTCGCGGTCTGGATTCTGGGGCGCGATCCAGCGGATACGCGGTCGCACGGCTACGTTCCGCACGGGGCATCCGCGGAAAAAGAAACCGTGTCTGCGTGGTCACGGCCCAGGGGCGCAGCCCGCGAGGCCGCGGATACCGACATGTCTCGCCCATGAGACCTGCCCCGGCCACCAACCCTGCTCCCACAACATCCCTGAGGAGGCAACTTCTGGGAGAGGCCTTCGTAAGAACGATTGAGGGCTGCCAGGCCCGAGAAAGGGGTGCTTGGAGCGGATGAGACCAAATTAAGCCCAGGATGAATCTGGATGCCGCAGGACTCGACCGGGCTAAGCGATAGTAGGCCAGGTGATTCGACAGGATGCCAGATCGGAACAGTTCTCGACCACGGATATACAAGCACCGATACTGATTTAACCTCCCAGGAATTGCATCCTAACCTCCCCCTGCTCTGACCCTCCAACTTCTGCCCTCCTCATTCCCTTCCTCATCCTTGTTGTTGAGCCGCCCTGGCGATCAAACACGGTTATGGCTGTAGTAGCGTCTCTGAGGCGAGAAATCGAAACGACTTGGGCGGCGTTGAAAAAACACGCAACCTGCAACTACAGCGACCGCATCGTCAGACGAAGGCATATCCTCCTCCCCCTCATCCTCCTCGCCATCACCATCTCCATGACATTACCATCATCATCACCACAGTCACCAAGATCACCATCATCAGCAGCATCATCGTCACTCCATCACCATCACCACCGTCATCAGCATCATTACCGGCAGCATCATCATCACCACCAACAACAACAATGACAACAACAGCAACAACAACGACAACAACAACAACAACAACAACAACAACAACAACAACAACAACAACAACAACAACAACAACAACAACAACAACAACAACAACGACACCATCAACAGCAGCAACTACAACCACAACGACAACCACGACGAAACAGCATCAAACACAATTAGCCTGGCGAAAAACCCAACCATAAGCAATTGTTAATACCGCAATTGTGGGCATCATCTTCGGTGGAGCTCCCTATGGGGCCACGAACCGTGTGAGGGGTGCGCCAAAATGGGGCGGGGCCGCCATGCGGACCCTGCCACTGGGGCCTTCGGTGGAGCTCCCTATGGGGCCACGAACCGTGTGAGGGGTGCGCCAAAATGGGCGGGGCCGCCATGCGAACCCTGCCACTGGGGCCTTCGGTGGAGCTCCCTATGGGGCCACGAACCGTGTGAGGGGTGCGCCAAAATGCGGGGCCGCCATGCGGACCCTGCCACTGGGGCCTTCGGTGGAGCTCCCTATGGGGCCACGAACCGTGTGAGGGGTGCGCCAAAATGCGGGGCCGCCATGCGGACCCTGCCACTGGGGCCTTCGGTGGAGCTCCCTATGGGGCCACGAACCGTGTGAGGGGTGCGCCAAAATGCGGGGCCGCCATGCGGACCCTGCCACTGGGGCCTTCGGTGGAGCTCCCTATGGGGCCACGAACCGTGTGAGGGGTGCGCCCCAATGCGGGGCCGCCATGCGGACCCTGCCACTGGGGCCTTCGGTGGAGCTCCCTATGGGGCCACGAACCGTGTGAGGGGCGGGCCAAAATGCGGGGCCGCCATGCGGACCCTGCCACTGGGGCCTTCGGTGGAGCTCCCTATGGGGCCACGAACCGTGTGAGGGGTGCGCCAAAATGCGGGGCCGCCATGCGGACCCTGCTACTGGGGCCTTCGGTGGAGCTCCCTATGGGGCCACGAACCGTGTGAGGGGTGCGCCAAAATGCGGGGCCGCCATGCGGACCCTGCCACTGGGGCCTTCGGTGGAGCTCCCTATGGGGCCACGAACCGTGTGAGGGGTGCGCCAAAATGCGGGGCCGCCATGCGGACCCTGCCACTGGGGCCTTCGGTGGAGCTCCCTATGGGGCCACGGAACGCGTGAGGGATGTGCCGAAACAGAGACATGCGGAGGGCAGAAGCAAGGGGGAGGGAGGAGGGGGCAGCGGGAGGAAGGAGGAGGAACGCGGGGCACCGTCTCTTCAAAACGAGGACCCAACACCACAGGATGGTTGGGAATTAGCCTGGCGAAAGACCCAACCATAAGCAATTGTTAATACCGCAATTGTGGGCATCATCTTCGGTGGAGCTCCCTATGGGGCCACGAACCGTGTGAGGGGTGCGCCAAAATGGGGCGGGGCCGCCATGCGGACCCTGCCACTGGGGCCTTCGGTGGAGCTCCCTATGGGGCCACGAACCGTGTGAGGGGTGCGCCAAAATGGGGCGGGGCCGCCATGCGGACCCTGCCACTGGGGCCTTCGGTGGAGCTCCCTATGGGGCCACGAACCGTGTGAGGGGTGCGCCAAAATGCGGGGCCGCCATGCGGACCCTGCCACTGGGGCCTTCGGTGGAGCTCCCTATGGGGCCACGAACCGTGTGAGGGGTGCGCCAAAATGCGGGGCCGCCATGCGGACCCTGCCACTGGGGCCTTCGGTGGAGCTCCCTATGGGGCCACGAACCGTGTGAGGGGTGCGCCAAAATGCGGGGCCGCCATGCGGACCCTGCCACTGGGGCCTTCGGTGGAGCTCCCTATGGGGCCACGAACCGTGTGAGGGGTGCGCCAAAATGCGGGGCCGCCATGCGGACCCTGCCACTGGGGCCTTCGGTGGAGCTCCCTATGGGGCCACGAACCGTGTGAGGGGCGCGCCAAAATGCGGGGCCGCCATGCGGACCCTGCTACTGGGGCCTTCGGTGGAGCTCCCTATGGGGCCACGAACCGTGTGAGGGGTGCGCCAAAATGCGGGGCCGCCATGCGGACCCTGCCACTGGGGCCTTCGGTGGAGCTCCCTATGGGGCCACGAACCGTGTGAGGGGTGCGCCAAAATGCGGGGCCGCCATGCGGACCCTGCCACTGGGGCCTTCGGTGGAGCTCCCTATGGGGCCACGGAACGCGTGAGGGATGTGCCGAAACAGAGACATGCGGAGGGCAGAAGCAAGGGGGAGGGAGGAGAGGGAGGGGGCAGCGGGAGGAAGGAGGAGGAACGCGGGGCACCGTCTCTTCAAAACGAGGACCCAACACCACAGGATGGTTGGGAATAACAAAAAACGAGAAGGAAAGGACTGGGGGAAGGGAGGGACGCAAGGGACAAGAGGGAGGGAGCAAAACTGCGGACGAGAGAGAGATTAGAAGGTGGGGGGCTCAAGAGAGGATCCGGAAAATAAGCGGCAGACCCGGACGGTTGGGTCGGCAACGGTCCCCAACGGGCGGGTCGGGCGGGCGGGGCCTGCAGACCCGCGGGCGGACCCTAACGGGCGGACCCCAGCGAGCGCGTCATTCCTGAATGGCAAGAGCGCGGCGCCCGAGTAAATTGCGAGGAAGTCTCAAGCGGGAGCGCGATTCTTGAGTAAACTGCGAGGAAGTCTCAGGCGGGAGCAGGGGACTGGAGTAAATTTCGAGGAAGCATCACGCGGGAACCGTTGTTGTTGTAAACCGGGGGCAAGGGGCAGTTTGAGGAAGACTTTCCCTGATAAAAAACCGGGTGCGAGCGCCGGGAGGGGCCCTTCAATTGAAACAAAACAATGTGCACCGGAGGGGGGGGATCAACAATAATTACTCGTCAATAGTAAGAGTTCAAGGTCAAGGCGGCCATGAGGGGCGCGTCCCGTGCGCTCGCTGTAACCAGCTCGTCCCTGGCACTTTAGGCGGATCACAAGGACGCGTGGCTAGCACCCCCCCCCGCCCCCAGCAACCGAGCAACCCAACGAAAACAAAAACGAACAAAAAATGCTCTCCTTACGTTCCCACGACGAAGCCACCAGCGGCTTCCGAGATTTGCCCTGGCGGGGCTCCGGGGAACGGGGTCCCTACAGGATCCCTGTGGAGACCCTGCAGGGCTTATGGAAACCCTGCAAGGCCTAAAGGATCCCTGTAGAGCCCCCTACGGAAACCCTGCAGGGCCGCCCTTTGCCTGTAGGATCCTTATAAGGTCCCTTTAGGATCCCTACAGGGTCCCCTTAGAGACCCTATTGAGATCTCCATAGGGTTTCTACAGACATCTCTTAAGGACCCCTGTAGAGACCCTATAGAGATCCTGCAGGGCCTATAGGATCCCTGTAGGACCCCTATGGAAACCCCGCAGGGCCTACAGAATCCCTACAGGATCTCTATGGAGACCCTGCACCGCAGGGCCTGTAGGATCCGTATAGGGCTCCTCGGGAACCCTGCAGGGCCTATAAGATCCCTATAGGGCCCCTATAGATACCGTACGGCCTGAATGAGATCCCGAACAAATACCATAGGGCCTGTATGGGATCC